GTTTGTGGAGGATTGTCTCCTGTGAGAGGGACCCCACCCTGGAGCAGGGGGGAGGACTCCTCGCGAGCAAACCTGACCATGGGAAGAAGGGAGGGGTGGTGGGAAGGCATTTTTAAGATGTGGTCCTATCTCTCACTGTCCTACTCAGATTTAATTGGTAAATTAGCAGTGGTGGTTGTGTTCAAATTAAATTAATGATTTTTGACCATTTTGACTCTATCTTTTGCCCATGATCATAACTGGTGAGTGAGCCCTCCCTGTCCTCCTCTCGATCCAGGAGCCTTTTGTCGTATTTTCTCCTCCCCATACCACCCAGGGGGAGGAGTGAGCAAGTGGCCACATGGTGTTTAGTTGCCAACTGCACCTTAACCATGACAGTCACCCAGCCCTGCATTTCCTGGTCAGGTTTACTTCACACACCTCTGTCTTTCAGCTCAATGCCATGTTCGTAATGCGCCTGAAGATAAACCAAGCCCTATCAAGACCAAGAGCATTCTTGTCTATCACAGTACCTTGATCCATTTTATGAGATCTTTTTTATCAATGCCTGGAGATTTGGGAAGCAGCTGGAACCCGAGATCCATAGGAGAAAGGGACAGCATATCAGGCATCTCAAAAATAGAAAGATCAGAAAGGTTAGGCTCAAACCAATTGAGGCAGACAAAGCCCATAATGCCTGCCAGGAGGATGAGCAGTGCAAACAGTGGATGTCTGAAGTAGAGATTTTTTTTTCCCAGTCACAGCAGTGGAATGTGTTTTAAGTAGCTGGCTTTCGGCCTTCTGTTTTGTTTATTTTTACAAAGACAAAACCAAAAGTGACACCATATCCTGCTTTACTGAAGCACAGAAGGAAGCATCTGGGAAGGGGAGGCCTAAGAGACAAAATCCAGACCAGCCTAAAGGGAGACACACACAAACCCTCCTGCTCAGCCTACTGAATAGGTATATATTTACCTACACAGCCTGTTACCACAGCCAAATGGAAAATACCTTCAGGGTGCTTCAAGCAGCCAAGAGAACAGGGGGAATACTCAGCTGCTCCTCAGGGGTTGCTTGGTTTCTTGAATAACCAGCACTGCACAGAAGAACCAGAACCTCAGTTGATGTGGGCAGGCTCCACAGCCTCCACCATAGCTGCATTCATACTTATACCAATTCAAGAGTCGCGTGGCTACTGCCCAGTTTTCAAGCTCATGGTAACTATTAACCTGTGCAAATAGAAGCAGAGAGCAAAATGAGAAAGTGATCTACTGAAATTTGCCCTGTGTGAGGGACTTCCCTGGAGAACCAGCATGAGAAAGGCACTGCCTGTGCAGAGAAGTGCCACACTAAACCAGACACTGGAGAACAGCTAAGCACTGGTTCAAGCTGGGTGCTTTGTCCACAGAAGACAGTACTTCTGCCAAGTGTGGGTAGTGGCTGAACACTGTTACAATTAGAGCAGAGGTGCCAGGCCAGTTTTTTCCAACCCCTGTTATTTCTGTTCTTCATCTTTCAGTATTTTGTATTCACCTGAAGAGAGCTGGTGCCTGATTTCAGGGGGTAGGAGAACTTCACGCTAAGAGCATCCAGTGTTTTGTTTTCCTAGTTATGCAGAATGCCCTCATCACAAACCTAGGTGCACCACAAAGGCAGAGTGGAAAGACCCCACATGTTAAGTCAATTTCTTGAGCAATTTGGGGGTTTTCTGTCAAATTACTCCAAGGGTAATTTTTCTAATTAGCAAACGTTTATTAGAAATTGCAGAGGTACAGTGAGGAACTGGCACGAGGAGGGGTAGGCTATTTCATCTGCAACTGTCCTGACCTTCAGGGAAAAAACCCTCCAGCATAACATAGTTGCCATAAATACTTATACCATGACAAAAGATGTCAGAAACGCAAGCTGTTGACATTACAGGATACTTAGCCAAAATGAAACCTTACGCCTTTCAAACTGTAAGCTGTAAAGACCAGCAAGTTTTACGACAGTGTGATATGCTGTCCTAGAGTTTAGAGGGCAAGAAAGTGCAGCTGACATCTAACACACAATACTAATGTCTTTGAAGGAAGTTCATCTCCAAATGATACAGAACTAACTCATTGTCAAGTTCTGGATCTAAACCAATCAAGTTCATAAAAGGGTTAGACAGATCAATGCAGCATGGGTTCACCAGCACTTTTATGTCCTGGGATGTATCCTCTGGCTCAGGGGACTGCCTGGACCATAGTACACACCAGCATCTTCCCTTAGTGTCTGCTGCTAGCTGGATGGATGTTTAGTCTAACTTGCTTGTCACATATAGTCAGCCAAGACTCAAGTATTCAAGGCTCAGTTTTGTTTGTGCAAAACAAAGCCTCCTCTCCTGGTGGTGTGGGATTTTACAGGCTTGTTTCTCAAAGTCTCTCATGCATTTAGTTCTTCCTTCTGTCTCTTGTGAGCCTGAGCAGAAGATGGGCCACCATCTCCAGAGAGGACAGACACCTCCGCACAGGGCTGCTCTGCCTCTTGTTTGTAAAGTATTACAACACACTGTGCAAACAGTCTAACCTTGGATGAAACAGACGTCTTAGATAAATCCCATCCATGGAATTAGTCACGCTGATGTTGCAATCACTGGTGTCGTGGATAAAAATGACCCAAAGAAGAAGAGTATGAGAATCTTCCACAATGGCTTTTTTACATTAATTATAAACAAAGACTCCCAACTCTCTTGTGATAGCCCAACAACTACTTGCATCTACCTGTTGTCTGTTATCTTAGCTCAGGACTATGCTAGAGCAGATTTTCTGCCACACCTCTGGAGTGGGCTGCTCATTCTTACAACTTCAATCAAGCAGCAAAAGTATGATTTTACTGAAACTGCTTTATACACATTACTTGCACAGTTATGGGAACAATTCCTTGCTGCTAGAAAGACGTACCATCTCACCTCCAGATCACACGATTATAAGCTAAAGGTGCCAACCACACCATAAGTTCTTACACAGGAGAATGTCCTTGTTCAGTGTGGTACAGCCCCAAACACTGCCCCTGAGCTGAGCTGTTGTTGCTGCTCTGCTCACGATATTAGCACTCCCAGTGGTTGCTCTGGGCTTAGACCACAGAGAAGAGGCTTTAGCATTAAAATCACTAGTAAATTCATTAAATCGTTTTAAGTTAAACATATCTTTTATACAACCCCTCCCCTTACCAAGTGAAATCCAGCTGTGCAGATGTGATGCTCTTACAGCTTGACCTAATGCTTTTATGCAGTAGAGGAGGTGGAAAGAAGATACAAAACTCATGCTTGCTAAACCACCTTTGCAGCAGGAAAATCAACCCCCTTACATAGTAAAAGCAACCACAGAGAGTTAAATCATTGGGCTAAAGCAATAAGTCATGTAGACAAAATGAGATATCCGACTGGTTTTCTTAGGAGTGGGTGACTACTTACACAGATTGTGCAACTACTCTGTCTCTGCTCTACAAACACAGCCTGATGTCCAAACACCAGAGTCTGTAATACAATTACTCTATATTGATACTGTTTGCGTGCATTTTGTAAATAAACAGTGACTCATAACTGATAGGCTTGGAGAAACCCAGGGCAGGGGTTATAACACAGGCTAAGTCATCACCTTCTCATTTGTCCAAAGATACCACCCCACATAGTGGGACTGAGTACAGCAGGGTAACTCCAGAGAGGAAGTAACCCTGGATGCAAGACCAAATCTTACTGCCCATGCCTGCCCCGAGTAGCACCTTGCCTGAGGGAGAGTCCTGCAGCAGCACACCTTCAGCTCCAGCAGCTCAGTGGCATTCAGTCTCACAGGGAACAGCAGCCCTGGCCTGGCAGGGTGCCCCACAGCGGTGCATGTTCACACTATATCCCCACCCAAAAGCACCTCTTCCCTGCACCGTGCTGCGTGTGCCACCCCACCCTCCAATAGCCACACTAAATTAGCATGGGGCACAGCAGATACTAGATAGATATTCATGTTTAGCCTTTATTAAGGCGTTTGATACTGTTTCCCACAGCATGCTCCTGGTGAAACTGGCTGCTCGTGGCTTGGAGGGGCACACGCTTTGCTGGGTAAAGACTGGCTGGATGGCCAGGCCCAAAGAGTTGTGGTGAACAGAGCTAAATCCAGTTGGTGGCCAGTCACGAGTGGTGTCCCCCAGGGCTCCATTTTGGGGCCACTCCTGTTTAACATCTTTATTGATGATCTAGACGAAGGGATCGAGTGCACCCCCAGCAAGTTTGCAGATGACACCCAGTTGGGTGGGAGTGTTGATCTGCTCGAGGGTAGGGAGGCTCTGCAGAGAGACCTGGACAGGCTGGAGCCATGGGCTGAGGCCAACTGGAGGAGTTTCAAGAAGGCCAAGGTGGCCAAGAAGGCCAATAGCATCGTGGCGTGTATCAGCAATAGCGTGGCCAGCAGGGACAGGGAAGGGATCTTACCCCGGCACTCGGCACTGGTGAGGCCGCACCTCAATTGTGCATTCAGTTCTGGGCCCCTCACTACAAAAAGGACATTGAATGACTCGAGTGTGTCCAGAGAAGGGCAACGGAGCTGGTGCAGGGTCTGGAGCACAGGTCTGATGAGCGGCTGAGCGAACTGGGGGTGTTTAGTCTGGAGAGGAGGAAGATGAGGGGAGACTTCATCGCCCTCTACAGCTCCCTGACAGGAGGGTGCAGAGAGGGGGGATGAGCCTCTTTAACCAAGTAATAAGCGATAGGACAAGAGGAAATGGCCTCAAGTTGCACCAGGGAAGGGTTAGACTGGATATTAGGAAGCATTTCTTTGCAGAAGGGGTTGTTGGGTGTTGGAATGGGCTGCCCAGGGCAGGGGTGGAGTCCCCATCACTGGAGGGGTTTAAGAATCGGGTTGACCCAGCACTGAGGTATATGGTGGAGTTGAGAACAGTCAGTATTAGTTAATGGTTGGAATGCATGATCTTCAGGGTCTTTTCAAACCTAGATGAATCTATGACTCTTTCTCTGCCTTATACCACTAACAAATAGTTGCAGGCAATACAGAAATTTTTTCATTCACTTGGTTTCTAATTTGTGAGCAACTTTATTTCCTCTGCCATGAAAGGAGCTCCATCAACAGCAGACTTAAGGAAACCTGGTCCCTGACGATTTTGTATTTGGATAATTAGTTTCTGCATATTTGAGGTTTCTTTTCCTCATGCCTACTGTAGTTTCAGTTTGATACAGTGTCTTTCATGGTCAGTGTATTGTAAGTTATGTGGTTTCAGAGATCCCTTAGGGACCTTTAAAAGCTTTACTGTTCTTTGAGCTTTCCACTGAGCTGAAGCATGGCCACCACATTCAAAGCTGCTGGCAGGCAGCACAACCACAACCACAGCACAACCATGTGCCATCATGAAGTTCAGCTACAGTGAATCACACAGTAACCTAGCAAAAATCCTTTAAAAGTGCAAGAGAATTGCAATACCAAATGTGAAAAGACATCAAATTAGAAAATGCTTGTTTGTAACCTTCATCTCCTCAGTTCCCAGAGATAAAGCCTGACCCTCCAAACCAAAAAGCTTGAACAGTCACGATCTAGCTACCAGATCTTCAGGCCTGAATGCCCAGACAGTAGGGAAGCTTTATAGTTCAAATATGGAGTCCTGTTCTTCTCTCACAAACAGTAGACAGCCACAACCACCCAGTATAAACCCTCCTGTCACAAGAGGAGAGTCATTCCTTTATCCCTGTAGCCCATCACCCTGCAGGACTGCCTGGTACCACTGGAGAAGCAGTAGCTGTATATAAATGGATGGCTGATTCACACTGGGACACTGGTCTATATTCTTGTCCCCCCCAACATGATCTCACCCAGCACAAGAGAGCTGTAAAGCCAGTTCCCTGCGTGGTCCCACTCCAAGCTGCAGTGGCCACACTGGGCTCAGCAACCAGAGGTATCTGTGGCTTACTGGAGGCTGTGATCCTTAAGGCTTTTTCTGGTTGTAATTAAGCCATCTCATTCTTCTTGATGAAAGCTTGCTAGGGAGGGTATCCTGCCTGCTTTACTCAGCAGTGTCTGAAAATACTGTGTGAACATGAGGGCAGTGCAGGAACAGGCACAGAGGCTGCTAGGATCTGCTTGCAGGCTGCAGAAGGAAGAGCAGAGCCATGCTAAGACCATCAGTTTGAGCTTCCAGTGACTTCACCCACCTCCTTGCCTCCCTCAACACACATCCAGAGGCACACAGTCATCTCCATGTCCTTTCCCTCCTGCCCAGCAGGGCCCAGCTGTGCTGCTCCCCCCACCCTGGGCAGCCCAGGGCTGGGCTGGGGCCACTGCACCCCCCCAGAGGTGGAGGCCAGGACCTGAGGCCTGGCAGGGTAGGTGCCATGCAGAAAAAAGCAGCTCCAGGTTGCAACGAGCTCACTGCAGCACAATTAGCCAAGGTCTTTTACTCCTTCAAGCACCCTCTACTTTGAAAGTAATTGAAATAAAAATTGTTTCATTCATAGGACAATCGAAGCTTGCAAGACATGTAACTGGTGGGACAGCTACTCATTAGCAGCCCTAATTATTATTCAAGACCCAGGCTGGTGTTTAAAAATCCTCCATGTTCCAGTACAGCTCTTCCACTACCCGCAATAGTTCAGCAACATCTGAGGCTACTATAACCGTTAAACTGTTGTCCCGTGGTTTGGGTGAAAATCTGCGTTAAACAATATCAAGACTTATCTTGAGATGACCTAAGCAAAGTTGAGCAAATGAGACATGCTCTTGCAACAGAAAGCTGTGCAGAACCCCAGGCTAGGCAGAGTCTTGCCAACACTTCCATCTCAAGAAGTCAAGTCCAAGGACTGCCTAACCTCATCTCTTACCCACAGCAACACCAGACACTTCCCAAAGAGGTGCAAGAAGCCTGCCTGCATACATCTCAACATGCCCTCCAATGCCTCGAGACGGGTTTACATCTGGACCATAACACCCATTACTCCCTCAGCAAAGTATTACTGTTTATTACACCAGGTCACCTTGCTTCCCATTTAAGAACTTGAGTTAGACACTCCGTCTTGATAAATTTATTGCCTCACCAACTTCTGAAGACTATGAGACACGCATAAGTAAACTCAGTTAATCAGTGGTTAAATTATTTTTTTCACAGGCCAATCATCCTTCAGCTAAGTTCCACAATTTCATGGCAACAAGCCCCAGACAGTCTGGAGACGTTGGGAACAGGAGGTTCTCCCCAGCTAGCACACAATACATACCATGCCTGGGCAGCTATTTGCTGCCATCAGTCAGGCTGGGAACAGCCCTGTGCCCTGTGACACAGTGGATCCAGTTTATAATAAAACTAAAAAGAAAAAAAATAGGGCAGCCTTGACAAGATATGTTTGAGTCACCCCTGCTGCTGTGTTTAATATTGTTGGAGAATTGCTCCATGCAAGGAGAAATTTAGGAAAAGCTTAATGAGGAAATCTTGTGATGAGGAAAGCTCATCTGCTCTCCTTTAGAGCAGCTGCATGCCTGCCCAGGACAGATGCAGTTGGCACATACATGGAGATGGCTCATACATACTGAGAGCCACTCATTCAATAACCACACATTTATGAGACAGCTCCTAATCAAACTCTTCTTTCAAGCAAAGACAGCAGGCTATCCTCAACATTCTCACCATGGGCACATGACAGCTCTAGCATTCTGCTGCCTGCAGCACACAGCAGCCTCTGTGCAAGGACCCACCAAACCAAGTGACAATCCCAGCCTCAGGGCACCCGTCCCCTGTCTAACTCAAATCTTGTGCTAGGAATTTACCCTGATCCTACATCTTGAGTAAGACTTCCAAGCTGTCCGCAGTACACTAGCGGATCGCATGGCAGTGCCTCCAGCTAAGATACATGCTTGCTTGCCTGCTTTCTAAATGCTTTGGCCCATGTGGGTGCACAAAGCATGGGAGACGTTTTTTTACTGTAGGTGAAAAAATGCCATTCTGTTCAAAATTTCATTGCTGCATTGCTTACTGCATTGCCTTCTCTCTAGACTACTATGGTGTGATGAGACAAGGAGGACTGCCTACCCTTGGGGTAGACAGAAGAACTGGGATCCACAGAGAGATCTTTATCTATTAAATAGAAAACACCAAGATCAAGATGCTAAAGAGGGAGGACAGTCCAGACAGATGTATGTGCTTTAGACAGCACAGCAGATGCTGACATAAAGAGCAAAGGCTGCAGGAAGTGAGCACATCTAAACCAAAACAAGCAGCTCTGAAAGAACCTGTGTTCTGGGAAAAGCAGTCACACCTTCAAGCACCTCCTGCAACTGGAGAGACTCCACTAGGCTTAGCAGAGAATGCAGCAACATCAGAAGCAGCCACCCAGGGGCTGCTCAGCCAGCCCTGCTGCAGTGAGCAGTGTCATGGCCGTGATGGGGACTCAGCAACAGCAAGGCAGAGCGGGGCAGAGCCCTCTGCTCGCTGCACAACCCTCATCCCCATACACCTCTTCATTGCCAAGAACGCGGCATACTGAAATCTCCTTTCCTAAGGTAACAACATCTCATTGTCTCACCTTGATTACTAGTGAAGCCTGTGAGTGATTTCAGCTTCTCCTGTCAAACCTGGTTGTCTCAAAATCATCACAATTCTACACATTCGGAACAAAAAGAGAAATCCCTCAGTGAGCAGGTAGAGAGGTGAGCCACATTCATGCTCCCACTAGGGAAAGGCTGCAGCTCTCTACCTGCCCACTGGCTGGCCAAACACACACACACTTCCCCAAGCAGGAAGTAGCCTAGGCACAGGCTGTCTCCAGCCCAACTGATATTTAGGGGATTTGGGAGAGAAAAGGATAGTGAGGGGTATTAAGACTTACTGCATCTTAGGCAAGTGTGAGAGAAGTCAGACAGAGCCTGTTCACAGAGCAGTTTGTCCCTTGCTTAAGTTAGTCAGGAGTTTATGCTAAGGACTTGTTTCTCAGTGGGTATCACAAGGTGTCAGCTCTGCTACAAGCAAAGCAGAGCCGCCCAGGGTAACGGCCCTGGCATGACACTGAAATGAATTTTGGTTCAGGTCCCAGTTTTACTTTTGGCATCAAGAGGCATTTGCTTGTTCTGTGTCTTCTTTTTACCCTTGGCAGGACAGTCTCCCAGCAGAGACTGCTCCTCCAACACACATGGTACAGGTCTCTGCTGTGCAGACACATGACCAAGGTAAGACCATCAGAAACAACCTCCTAATTATCAAAACCAAGCCCAAGAAAGTCATTAAAGGACAAACTATCCCTGACCACTCAAGACAAGTTCCTATGGTCTACCTTAACACACCATTCGCCCATGACGGGGCACGCTGGATCTGCTTGCTTTCAGGGTAGTGCACATCCCTCCAGCTGCAGAGCTTCTCTTTGACTGCTCTGCCCAGGGTGGGTGGAAGACAAACAGGCCCCACTTTCTGCTACCTCCCTCAGGGCAACTTTCCCTGCTTTTCCAGAAAGAGCTGCTCAGTGGAGGAGCCCTACTAGATTTCTCCTACTTCTGAAATTGTTTTTTCCTTCTAGCTGATGATGACCTACATAATAAGCAGGTCACTGGAACATGAGAGATGTTTTCTGAGGCAGAGGAGAAAAGCCAATCATTTCCCCCGCTGTGCATGCTTCTGAAAACGCAGTGAAGTGCTGTTTCCCAGGGGTCCCACTCAACAGCCTCCTTCATGCTCTTCCTGCCTGAAATCAGCAGGAGCTGCTGGGATCCCACTGGGGAACTGATCAGACCCTGAGCAGAACATCAGGCTAATTAAGGACCAGCTCCATGTGGACAGAGGGGAGCTTCGGGAACACAAACCCTTCTCACGTGAACAGTAAACATGCCATGTGCAGCCCCTGTGCACAAGGCTGTGAGCCTGTGCCATGGCCCAGCTGCGTGAGATTCAATCCACCGGGCAAGGCGAGCTCTCAGCAAACAAGCAGCAAAGGGAAGGAAGGAGTGATGTGAAGGGAACAAGTCCCCACCATGCCTGTGGTGCAGCCCCTCCCCAGCCAAAGGAAGGATCTGGTTGTAGCAGGTCTGCAGACAACAGGA